TTGCTTCCTGCAGCGCTCCGTTATCCGTTCGTTGTCCATTGACCGTCGTCTATACCGCTCCGTTGCCCTCTTTTTAGTCCCTGAGTTATACGCTGTGGGTGGTTCGACACTCAGTCGGTTTTCTGGTTGAAGCGTTGGTACACGACTACTCGTGTATTTTCATTTAACAAAGACTGCTAAAAAGAAATGGTGGCGTACCACGCCGGCCAGAAAGAGCAAAACGTAGCGCTCACGACGCTCAAGGATAAACCAACACCTAAACAGGGGCACTCACACTTACGCTCACTCATAACAATTACTGACTCCCTTCAATAATAGCATTTTATTCCGCCTAGTCCGAGGTGAAATGCTAAGTTCTACCATGTTTGTAGCGGTCGTGTCCTCAGGAGCACCGTCCAGTCTTCGCCGGTCCCGGCGAAAGAGTGACTCCCAAAATCCTCAAAACTAAGCATTTTATACTACCAAAAAGTGGCCGGCGACGATTAGGTAAGGACAGGGGGCCGTTGCTGATGAAACGCCGTAGGCCCTGTCCTTCCCTCAAGGTCGACGTGGTGGCAGGTGTAATTGTTCGCCAGGCGTGCGTGTCACAGTTGCCCTGCCGGGCTGCCGCTTACGCGGCGACGTCCGGCTCCTGAGCTCGCGGTCACGTGACTTTGGACGTTATTCCGTCCGGTGCGCGGCACGACGCGGTGGCTGTGCCGAGCTGCAGCGGATGCTGTGCCGTCCGGCAGTGGCGACGCGTTGGCCGTGCCGAGCTGCAGGGGACGCTGTGACGCCCCCCCCCCCCCCCCCAACACCCATGGTCGCGTGGCATCGGACGCTTTTCGGTCCGGTGGCGGTGACGCGGTGATCCGGCGTATGGTTCGGCGCCCACGGTCGCTTATCACCGGACGCTTTTCATCCCATGGCGATGACACGATGGCCGTGTCAAGCTGCAGGTTGCGTAGGTCGTGTATGTCCTGTCCCCCGGGTGGGCAGTCAGTGGCCTTGAGCCTCGGCCCCCGGGACGGATCGGTCCGGGGGCGCCTCTGATGGCTGCTGGGCGTAGACTTTGAGCGTCAGCTGACGCCCAGGTGGAGTGACGCCGCGGCCGTTCAGCGCCAACTGGGCTTCCACGGATCTTTTTTCCACATTCATTATATAATGGTTCAGTGGACTCTTTCTACATTGATAGAACTCAGAAAATTACTCAGAATTTTATGCGGATTCTATAGCGATGATCTCAGTGTCACCTTTGCCCGTCTGTTGAGCCCGAGTTTGACCTTAAATAATGACATTAAAAGTCAGGACTCTTTGACAAGCGCTACTTCGTGCGCATAGAATATACTGGTGCTTGCAAATTTGAAACGGTCGCAAAATTTTGGTGATAAGAAGTTTCCTGTCCATTGAGCCTGAATTGACGCTGCAATGTGACCGAGCGGTCAGAACTTTTTGCTGGACACTAGTTCTTGCGATAGTGAATACTTTGATACTTAAAGAGCTGAAATCGGCCGGTAATTATTGATTATGTGGAGTTTCCGTCCTTGGAGCCTGAGTTTGACCTTGAAGGGTGACCTCAAAACGTCAGGACTTTTTGACCGATGCTAGTTCCGGCGTTTATGAATGTTCTCATGCGTGTGAATCTAAATTCGTCTGTAATTTTTTGGTGATGTGGTGTTCCCCGTCCTTCGACTTTGCTTTTGACCTTAAATATCACATGATGTTACAAAATAAGCGTCTTTTCGATATTTTCGCGTCAAAGAAGAGCATATGAAGCGTTTTCAGAGAAAGCGGCATTCGTCGCTGAATGAATCGCTGAATAGTTCGCCAACTTCACGTGCACACAGATCGCATGTGATGAACTTACACAATGTCAACAACATGTGGGACGAAGAGAGCACAAAAGGGGACACTAGATAAGTTGGAGTGGTTTAAAAAAAGCCCCAGCGAGCACATGCGCTCAGTTTTGGTTTGTTGTGACGCATGGCAATTGATTTGGCAACTTTTATGCACAGCTACATCTTTGCGAGCGTGCAAGATTTTGAGGATGAGTTTTTCCATCGATATGGACTCAACGGGGTGTTGTTTTTCTTAATATGATCATGCAGTAAAGCTCCAAAAAGCGTAGTTTTTCGCGTGTCGCAGATGGTCATTATACCTTGTTCGTACCACAGCATTTGTCTCACCGATGTAGGAGGATATCTAACACGGGTACACGACACACATGTCATCCGGCGCATAGTGAAATTGTGCACTTGACCTCTACACCCACCTGGCAGGCGGGACGCGTGCGGCCGCCTGCGGGGCATGGGAAAGGTTCAAGTTCCGACCCGGACAACCTGACCTTTCATTGTTCGTTCATATTGCCAAGCCAATCGAACGGAAAGGCCCGATGAACGTATTGTGTTAGCTAATTGCTTTAGTTAGATTGTCTTCTCAGAATGGAAGTGGGATGCATGTTTTATTGCTCGGTAGATGTTGGCTGATGTTAGCTCTATCTATTTTGCGACCGTGATGTATTGCCCGCGGTGAACCGAACTAGAAACAGTAGATCAAAATGAGTCTTTAGGGCCTCTCCGTTCGGAGAGCTAGTAAAAGCGGAAGGACAATCAGACATCAGTTTGTTCGGCCTGCTCTTGACTTTCCCTTCCCCCTGAGGACTTTTATTTCACTCGACTTTTTGTCGTTCGATTTTTTTCCGATTTAATGCCCACCCCTGCCAAGTTCTATCCATTTTGGCTTTGAGTCCTTCGACTTTATGGTGGCTCTGATATTATCATTGTCGTTTTTTAGTCTTTCGAATGTTTTCGTGCGCTTTTTCCGTTCGACGTTTTGCATTCTGGTCCTTTTTTGTCGACTTCTCGTTTATGAGCCAAGTGTAATGATCATTTACCAGACGCAAAAAACCAAGCAGTTCAAACTGTGCTCGGTGACCACACTCTAAAAAACGCGAAACATCTGTGTTTTTATGACATGGAAGGTCTATTTAATCGGAAACCTCACCCCCTAAATTGTACTCACCAGCAAAGATGTGGTTGCGCCAAGAACTGTCGAGTCGATGGTCAGTCACTAAAAACTAGACCTGAACACATGTGTTGCATCGATGCAGTTTGAAACAACTCCGCGCTACTAGTGAACACCACGTGTGCTACATTTGTTCCGTATGTCGTTCGCCTAGTCTGTGCTCATCAAATGTGATCTGCCACTGTCCGGGTGTCGTGAGACGGATCACACTGTTCAGAGCCAGGGCTTCTTTCCAATGGGGCTACCCCGGATGTAAAAACACGTCATTTATCGCATTTATCGCATTTAAACTGACATCAGAGAAGATATGAAGCGCTTGACTTCACGTTAGATAGCATTGCGTGAAAGTAAGACGTGCGCCCGGTATTGGCTTTATTTTGTTGTAGTGTGGGCTTTTCGTTGTCGTTCTTTGCATAACGTCGTCATGATCTATCGACAATAAGCTCTCTGGGTACCGATCTACGTCGGTGGCTTCGAAATCGGTTGATAAACGGGACAACTGAAACTGGACAAGTGGGCAACTGGAACAAATGGAACACAATGCGTTTGACGCACGCCTGTAATAGGTAAAAGAGAACAGTTTTTCGATCAGCTGGAAGCGGAAATTCTTTGATATGCAACGAAACATCATTGGGTAACATCTACAAATTGTTGACCTGACTGGAGCACGATTTAGTGAAAACTGGCGTTCTCCATTCCAATAAGTGTACCGGCCAATGCGTTCGACATGCAGTTGCCAGTCAACGAAATGAGCCCAAAACTTAATATTTGATATGATTCTTCACTTATCCTTGCTTTCGTCTGTAGATATTTGCATGTAAAATATCGCGCGATTCTGCGCGTTCGTGTGACTATACGGTGTAAGCTGTTCTCGAAAAAACCGTTCTTAGAAAATGTTTGATTTCGGTGTACTCATTCATAGCTTCCACTCTATCTGAAGGCAGGTGCGATGTAAGCCCGGTGGCAGTTGTGCAATATATCGAAGGCTTCACAGCGTCTAAATAATATACCGCCACTTGTGTGGTCAGTAGCCGTAATGTTTATTCTAAGGGGTGTCTACGCTTTCCTAGCGCATGCTGAAAACGTATGAAAAGTTTTGCAACAATGCAATAGCCATTGATGATTATTCTGATAATTTTCCCTTGTAAGATAACTTTTTACAAACATAAACGTAATCGCACAATTATGTCACACCGTCATCATGACGATAAAACGTCTGACTGAAACATGGACATTTAAACGTAACTTCAAAATGATTGCGTGGTCAGGATACGCACTGTTAACAGTTCGTGCTGGCATGAATCAAACGTCGTGTTTCTGTCCACAGGTGTCTTCCCTCTACTGGCTATCGCTATCGCATTGACGTGATGCGTGGCTGTTATTGTGAAAATATGTCTGCATGATACACGAAACTTGATGCCAGCAGGACAAGGTTGTTCCGCTCCATTATCAAAACATCCTGCGCACAAGTAATCCGAAAATATGCAACTATCTTGGTGTTAGGCCGTCCCAGACGCCGCCCTGTTGATTACATTGGCCCGCTGTTGCAAAGCAGGGGGCCTTTATGCCCGGGGTGGAACAAATCTTTCTCGACCTGGTCCAACACGCCTGGCCGAGGATAGCATGAGCAGCATCCAGGTATCGAGGATATGGCCGTCTTTGTCATATCGCATCTGCTGCAGCACTGTTCAGCTCTGTTCCGTCCTGCCCTTATCGCCGCGGTGACTGCCCTTATCGCCGGCTGACGTCACCGCCGCCGTTTCGTCCTGACGTGATTACCGCGGTGCTGACGTCGCCGCCGCCGTTTCGGCCCGCCGTGATTGCCGCGGTGATGACGTCACCGCCACCGTTCCGTCATGCCGTGATTGCCGCGGTGCTGACGTCACTGTCGCCGTTTCGACCTGCTGTGATTGTCGCGGTGCTGACGTCACCGTCGCCATTTCGTCCGGCCATGATTGCCGCGGATGCTGATGTCACTGCCGCCGTTTCGACCTGCCGTGATTGTCGCGGTGCTGACGTCACCGCCGCCGTTTCGTCCTGCCGTGATTGCCGCGGTGCTGACGATCACCGCCGCCGTTCCGAAAGGGAGACACTCAGTCTTCGCCGATCAGCTGCTGGAAAGAGGAGCGTCGAGTCTGGGTGGCGCGCTCCTCCGCGCTCATGTGCTGCAGCGAGCGGTGCTGATCGGCGATGGTGACCATGATGATGCCCCACCCGATGCTCCAGAACCAGCCGACCAGGCAGAACGTCAGCGTGTACAGCTGCATCAACGCCACCACCAGGTTGGTGCAGGTACTGGTCCAGCGGTGCCCCTTGGTGGTGGTGACCGAGTAGCGCGTACGGCCCATGCAGTGTACTAGCAGACCACTCAGCGCCGTGCCCAGACCTGGCACCAGGATGTTGAACAGCAGGCAGAGGTAGGCGGCAGCGCGCGGCAGCACCGGGATGGCGCTGCGGGCCATGGACGTGGTGTTGACCATGCTCGGGTCCAGTTGGGGCAGATGCTCGCGCGCACCCTCCGGCTCGTCGAGAGGCGCGGCGCGGCCGAACAGGCGCGCCGGGAGCACCACTGGGATGCCGAAGATGCGGCGCACCTTGGCGCGCGGCGCGTGCGGCAGCGGGCCTGGCTGAAGCCGGCCCTGGCCGCCGGCCGGGGAGACCAACGCCACGTCCGGCAGGCGCAGGCCGCTCGTCTCCCGCTTCACCGGCGACTTGGAGCGCGCCCGGCTGCCGGCGGCGGCCGGCGGCGGCTGCGCGTCCGCCTGGCCGCCGTCGCCGGACCGTGATGGCGGCCTGTCACGGGCGCCGTCTGGCGTCAGCAGCTCCCGCGACTTGGCGTGCACAGGCACGCCCCGATAGAGTCGGTCGAACACGCTGCCGCCCGGTCTGGGCGCCGGTCTCCTGACGGTGCGCTTCTGCTCCGCCGGCCGTTTCTCAGGTTTGGGGTGAACCTGGCGTTTGGCGGCTTTCTTCTTGGGCTCCTTTCTCTTCGCTGCAACATTTTCCTCGATGAGAGATGAGTGCTCACTGCTCGATGCCGCTGGCCTCCCAGCAAAAAGACGATCGTAAAAGGAGCTTTGCTTGTCTCGTTTCCTCTCTTTCTTGTCTTGGGGATCATTACCATCTCTATTCGACGTGCTGGCTGCTGTCTGCTCAGTATTACCAGGATCACTCTTGTCTGTCTTGCTTTCTTTCTTGCTCTTCCGACCGCGACTGGGCGTATCCTTTCCTTTTTCGATGTCCAGATTGGCCTTACGACCCTTGCCTTGGTGCATCTTGGCCTGCGAGTCAGCCTCCCTCGACTCTTTCTTGGATTCCATGGCGTCCTGCTCGCGGGCGTTCCGAGCGCCTGCAGCGCTTCCTTCGGCTGAGTCGGACTTAGTCCCACCCCTGGCTCGGCTCGTTCTCGGCCCATACAGCCGGTCGAACACGCTCGTTCGCTGGACGGGCGCCGGCTTACCGGAGGGGCCCGGGGCGCCCCGGGCCGGCGGCTGCGTCTCGTCCTCAATGGTGATGCTGGCTACCGTCTCCGGTGTCTGCAGCGGGGGATGGTGCCTCCTTCAGAGCGGTCTGCAGCGGGGGTGGCGCCTCCCTCGGAGCGGTCTGCAGCTGGGGCGGCGCCTCCATCGGGGCGATCTGCTGGCGACCGGTGGTGTCGGTCGCCTCCTGCAGCGGCCGGCGCGTGATCAGACGGTCGTACAGCTCTTCGGCCCGCTGTCGCTGCGACTCGTCGATCGTCGGCTCCGGCTCTGGCTCCGGCTCCTGCTCGGGCCCGGGCCTCCCGCGGCCGCGGCTCGCCGTCCTCGGCTCGGTCCGCGACAGCCGGTCAAACACAGAGCGAGGCTTGCTCGGGTCGCTCGGGTCGCCGTCGAACACCTGGCTCCAGTCGCCGCGCCGCCCAGCCATGGCCGGCGGCGGCGGCGGCTCGGCCGGCTTGCTGGCGGCGCGGTACTGAGCACGGCTCTCACGCACCGCGCCGGCCGCCGCGCGCCGGCCCGGCAGCAGCGACGAGAACACGGACGCCTCGCGCGGCGGCCGCGTCACGCGGATCTTGGGCGGCTTCGGGCTTCGCGGCGCGACAGCCGGCCGACGCCCGACCGCGTCGCCGCCCAACTGTCCGCCGGCGTCTCCGGCCGCTGGCTCCACCGCCCGCCGGCCCGCCGGCGGCGCGTCCGTGCCACCGGACACCATGGTCAGCGACAATTAGCTGCACGATAGCCAGGATAAACGACCATCCGCGGGACGCGCCGCCCGACACGCGAAAACAGGAGACAACAGAGCTGCAGCGGCGGCGCTGCTGGAGCGAGCGTGCGGTCCTGCCGGCCTGCGTCACCGCAGTGCCTCGGCGCCGGCTGTGTGCCGGGCTCTGTGCGCTCCAGCCGTAATAGCCGCTCGTGCCGAACGCATGACCCCCGTCCATCGGGGACCGATCAGCGGCGGCCAGCGCCTGGCACGGACGGCGCGGCGCTGCTCGTTACCTGCCGATGATTATCGCCGGCGTCGATGAGGTCCGTCGACTCGTATGGGCGCCGTCCCAGTCACGGCCGGCACCGTGGGTCAGCCCGCGGGCAGGGCAGGTCAGGCGACTGCTGGCCGCTGGGCACGCGATCTCCAGCCCGGGCGCGCCTCGGCAGGAGGGCGATGTACGCACTGATGCTGGACGCGACGCACTGCGATGAACGCACTGATGCTGGACACGACGCTCTGCGATGTACGCACTGATGCAGGACGCGATGCACTGCGATGAACGCACCGATGCTGGGCACGACGCTCTGCGATGAACGCACTGATGCAGGACGCGGCGCACTGCGATGAACGCATTGATGCAAGGTGCGATGAACGCACGCGACGCACTGCGTTGGCAAATGGTGCATCATTTTGAAACGCATTCAATAATCACACCCATTGTTTGTCGTCATTGTGGGTTTACAACGTACTCAACTGCTGAAGCTATATGGGGCCGCCTGCCTTTCACCCTGACAGGAAGGAAGGGCACTGCGGGGAATCGAGACCCGCAACTTGAGTGTCCCAGACGTGCAGCTCAACTACTACGCTACCAGCGCCCCCAAACCGTTTGTTACGCCGCTGTACTAGCTGAACTGGGAAAATGGACATAAAACTGTAAATGAAGATTGGGCGCGATGCTTGTTTGTTTTTGCTTTTGTTATGTTCTTGGGATGTTAGAACAAACCCAATCCCGACCGGCTCGTCTTCAGCGGCGGACCCTCCCATCGGTCAGTGCATTCTGCCCATTCGCTATACAAATAATCCCTTCTTTAAATGGCGTCAATATTTACCCGATCTGTCGTTGGTCATTAGAGCACGTTGCGTCGGGATGCAGAAACACAGAATCAGGCCCCCTGCCCCAAAGCTCTGAGAGTATGTTTTGCCACCCCCCCCCCCCCTCCAAAAAAAACATTCCCAGAACTTAATAAAAGTTTCGTCTACTTACCGACTGTTTTAACTTTAACTGTTCCAACTGTTTTGTTTTAACTTCTGTTTAAGATTCAAAAGCATCTCGGTGTTTTTTCGGTTTTGAATGGTGTCCCTACTAGGTACCCGCGAGAGGCACCATGCACTGGACCTTGGATCCTACACCAGCCAGCTGGCGACGAACGGTTGCGCCCCCCCCCCCAAAAAAAAAACTACTCCAGGCTAGACCCGCCCCTGATTAGGAGTACCAAACAAAATGGAGGCCTTCGATGGTTAAGTATGTCGTAGTGTCACGTGATTGCCCCAAAACAGTCGTCTCGAATACACACGGTCGTGCTCTTGGCTTACGATTCCAAGGTTTTCTTAGGCTTCCTTATTCTAGTCATTGCGGTACGACTCGATGGCAGCTGTCAACTGATGCAAATTGGAGCCGATAGTGCTTTCATAGTGAAATTGTACGCGCATGGTCGCAACCACCTCGCACAACCATAATTTTTTTTTTAAATTTACCGCCCCAGCGTTTGCAGCTATCTGCCGTAGCCGGTCTGCAAACGTTGAGTGCTGTACTCCCACGGGGCCAGCTGAATAAAATGATCAGCTTAAACGGACAAATGTTTTTCATTGCCAGCCCAGAGCCCTTCAGCCATGCTATCAAATGCATGCCGTTGCACTGTCCGCGTGCGGTTAGAAACATTTTCCTAGGTTGCCGCACGCTGGCCCCCACGCTACGGGCCGGCCGGTCAGATTTAGCAGTTCGCTTTTAGGGGCTACATGAATAGAATAGGTGACGTCTGAAGACGACTGACTTACATTGCCGAACGGCACTGCCCACATATTGTTATGTCGTGCACACAATGGCACCCAGAGCACATTAAATTTTGTTTTTATTGACCACCGTGTCTGCAGTTTGCTGCTACGGACGGACCGCCAATGTGGGGTGCACATTGTGCACTGGGTGCACATTTGGGTGCACATTGTGCACTGGGTGCACATTTGGGTGCACATTGATACACTGTCAGGGATTCAACTGAATGAAAGGGACGCCTTCGCCGGACAAGAGTGCTGCAGTGTCAACTGATAACCCAAGAGCAACGGCATCGAATGGACAGGTTAACACTTCTCATGCGTGTTTATACGTGTTTCCCCCGACTTCCTTATTACGGCCATTACGCTATGGGGTAGCCGGTCGCATTTAGTAATGCATGTTCAGGAACTCATATGTGATAGAGTTACATGCTGGACGACAAGTTTCCAACAAGGATTATTTTCCCACATGGTATGCACACGTTGCACCCGCATCACTCGACAATGAGTATATTTAATTGGCCGCCGAAACTTTGCCGCCTCGGTCAGCCCGAGTTGTAGTGCCAGCGTCTAGCCCTACAACAGTGGGCTAGGAGCAGACGCTGCAACTCGGGCTGAGGATGGGATGCATACCAGCTGACTCACTTGCAACACTTGAATTGTCGAGAGGAGGCAGAATAATCGGTGCATGTTCGCGGAGCCCAATTGTCGTTATGTGCGCTTGCTTTGGCCGCTCGTCGTAATGCTATTGTTTATTTTTTCATGACCTTGTACTTATACTTGCATTCACGAAGTCCGCTACGGCGCTTTTTTTACAGAAAATGTCTTGCCTTTGGGGCATGTTTCAAAAATATACTCTTGTAAAACCTCAACACCATGTATGTATAAGAATGACACATACCGCCGCGTGATATGCCATGCAGTCCATATACGTTCTTTGTGTTTGGACGGTTATACTTTGCTCGAACCTGACGGGGGCTAAGTCTCATGCACCCTCCCCGTGTTGGCTGCGCCACTGCGCTTAGGCGCTCCCCCCCCCCCCCCCCCCCCCCCCCCGCCTGCCCCCTTTCCCCGGCGATCGCAGCCCTTCACCGGGTGATATTGCAATTCATCTGTCCAAATATTGCGATGTCCGGAAAATTTAGATGCTTGGATGACTAAGCTATTCGAATGAATATTTTCCAGAATACTCAAATCATGCTCATGTTAGTATGGATTGCACGGGGTGACATATTTCCACGCCCTTCATGATACTAAGCAGTACTTTAGTGGTTGTGTGGGTTTTGGGAAATATCACGGAACATGGCGAATCTTTTTCATTTCCGACGCCCGGCATCGGGCATTAGCGTCACTTCAAAGTGCT